CCTTTACCTCCGTGACGATGAGATAGTGTGATGTCTTTACTGGGCTGGTGTAGCTCATTCCTTATTTAATCATTTCAGATCAGGAAGACATTGTTCCCGAGCCCGTTCCGCAGGAAGACGGCGAAGGGGACGCCTGAAGACTCCGTAGTCATATTTATAGCTTTTATTTTCAAGTTTCTCTTTTAGTTAGTTTGTTCTTTTATACTTTGAGCACGTTTTTGGTTTTAGTGTAAGGGATGTTTAATCAAAATTTTTATTACGCTTCCGCATTTGACCTTTTTAATACACATATTTCATTATAAAATTTCGGGGCCGTTACATTTCGAGTTCTCTTAGACAAGATTCTCCATGGTGTTGGTGATTTTATCCATACTAACATTGACGACCCCCATATCACATTTGACCTGTGAAACACAAAGAGTCTCACCTGTAGGAGCAATAGGGATATAACCTTTTGACTAACCTCGCTTGGAGTGAGCACACGACTCTTGTCTACTAGCTTGTTTTTGGAGTACTTTGACTCCAATAACTTTGCCTTTTTTTGATGCAATGTTCGTTAGCTAGAGTTTGGTGGAGCCAAGGATAGATGAAACTTTTGCTCTGATACCACCTATCATAAGATGAGTAATTTTGAGGTTACTCGTGCGATACTTACTCACTCTAAATGGTCAAGACTAAGTAAGTTTTTCGTGTGTAGGAAGAGTTTACCTAAGAATAAGAGAGAGTAGTGAGCTTGGGCGAATAATAGAGTTTTATCGACAGCTTTATAGGCTTTACAAGATTGTTTGTGTTATTGTATATGTACAAATGGGAAATGATAGCCTATTTATCGCCCCCTCATTAAATGGTTAATAATCAATTTGATCCAACCGTGTATATTACATTTGTAGATAACTCTTGAAATATTTATAACAAGGGATTTTACTAAAAGTGTTTAGGCAGCATGCTTCTAGCGCCTTTCAGAGGCTTCTAGGTTGACAACTTGTAGGCAGACACTTGCTGGAGCTCTCTAATGCTTGACAGCTTGCCAGAGATTTCTCGCAGTTTCTAAAATTTTTCTACGCATTCTAGAATTTTCTTGTGGGATGAGAATTTTTCCCTCGGCTTCTGGACTTTTCCCACAATTAGGAAGCATGCTTACGTGCACTTAATGACCTGTTTGCGCATGCGCACGTTTCCTGGCCCATTAGGTGTTTGGCCAGGTAGCAGCTTGTGCGGAGCATAACAATTTGCCTTATTACAAATACCATTAACTAAACTATAAAGATTTAATTTTGTGTATAAATAATTTTTAACTATTATAATTTTTATTTATTATAATTTTTATTATTCACATAGAATTAATAAAATTGAGGTAATTTATAAATTCAATTACGACACATTTAAAAATTAAATATAAATAGTTCATGATGATCAAAGTGGTAATTTGCAATGAAAGGTAATTTGCGTAATTTTATTTTGCTTTTTTCGATTATGATAATTGTAAATTTATCAAAAATCGAAAATTAATTTTTTTTATAGATATTTTTTGCCCATTTCAAATCGAAATAAATAAATAAAATAAAAATATCTCCGACAGTTTAAATATCGTAACCAACAACCAAATAAGAGGCGGATAACCAAAAAAAATAAAAATGCACAGCCATGCTCTGCAATTCCCCTCCATCAGCGTCTCTTCCATGTCCATTTCATTTATCTCCCCTGGACACCTCTACATAGAAACCTTCTGCTTCACTTATCCACCCTGCTCAAAAGTCCTTCCTAACTCTATTTCTGTGCATAGACCTGTAATCTCGAGATGCGGCAACGGCCCACAAGAGATAACAGGTGGTGACAACAACTTGAAGGATGCACTGTCTGGTATGGTGGGCAAGCAGGTGGAGGAACTCTTGAACAGAGAAGAGAACAGGGGCTTGCTTGATGGATTGGAGAAAGCATCACAAAGAGTTGAAATGGCTAAGAGGCAGCTTGTAGAAATTGAAAGGCAAGAACTCGAGGCGAAGCTTTTGAGGGATTACGTTACTCAGCTTGAAACCAGAGCATCTGAGGTTAGTTTCTCCAGTAATTTTTCTTTCTCGGGGTTTATTGTTGGAGATGATTTTGTTGCTTTTGGTGGGAATTGGAGATCACAGATGGTTTCAATGGTTTGTTCGGGCTAAACACTTGAAGTGTTAAAAGGCTCTATTCCTTGGAATATCTCGATAAATTAGTTTGTTGATTGAATCAATGTTACCATGGTTGCTCACTCCCCTGCAATCCAAGTCCCAAAATTTTCGAACTGGACCATGGAATGGGTTTGCTTGGTTCTATTTTGGTTCTTCTTTTGGAACTCGAAAATTAGGGACCCAGAATTAAGAAGAATTGGGATAGTGAGAGAAAATAGTTACTGAGAAAGAGTGAGAATTTTTTCCCAACAAACTTTTCTATTAAAATTGAGATTAGTTAGGGATAAAAATGAAAGAGGTAGGTAGGTGTCCAAAGTGAAGAACGAGAGTCCATCAAATAATTTTTTTCTTTTTTTTTTTAAATGGAAGTTAACATTATAATTGGGAAAATTCAGTAAAGGGAATACATAGGGAAGGAAAATAGTATTTCAAAAGGAAAGAAACAAAAAAAAGTCTCTCTCTTTTTTTGGATAATCAATAACTAAAAGATAAAAGGAGAAAAGATTGTTGTAATCTTTTCTTTTCTTTTTCCTTTTTTTTTTTTAATTTTATAAAAACGAAAATAATTATTTATAAGTAGACAGTGAATCTTATATTTCATCAATAGTATGACAAGTTAGCTAGTGAAGACAAAATATAAATTTCTTCCATAAAAATTTTAAACTCAGCTTTTCCCTTCATTTTCCCCCAACTTGTAGGAATAAAAAAAAAAAAAAACAAAATTGGAGTTTTAAGTAAAAAGGAGGAATGTTCATTTGTCCTTACTTTGTGTCATGAATTTTATTTTAAAATTCATAAGTTTGGACGGTCATTATTC